ATGGACGCTATCGGTCTCTTCCAAACCGGGCGAAGGCAAGGGCCTGACCGAGTTCGCCATGGGCATGTTGGATATCAGCACGGGACTCCTCAGCAAACTCCCCGAGAAACCGAGCATGGGCCGCTCAGACAGCATCGCAGGACTGGGGGTTATCTCGGGCGCGAGGAGGTCAAGCCTGCTCGCGCTAGGCGGTGGGGGCTTCTCCCTCAGTGTCGGCGCTCATACGCTTGCGGAGACCGGGTCCATGGACCTCGATACGAGCGGCGGCAGTGGCGATGCGAGCGGGATGCAGAGTCCGAGGAGCGCTGGCGACGGGGCGAGCGAGGGAAGCGGAGATTCCGAGGATGCGATGTACGGCAACGGCTTTGCAGCCGCAGCCGGGATGGCGCATTTCTGACCGAGGTGGGATGCGCCGTGGAGCGGGTAGTCGAGATTTGACGCAAAACCCAGAAATTGGAAGAAAGGAGCGAAGAGGTGAGGAGACTGGAATATAGGAAAGCCGTGGTGGCAATGAGTTTGGCAAGGTCATATGTGAATACCAGGGTATGGGCAGGGGCTCATAAAAACCGTGCTGAAGTCACGCTCGCGACATATGGCGTGCTCAAGGTGTGTGCCTGGGGGGGTTGAATGACACCGGGCTTTGGTTGGTGATCAAGGGATCTCGGCACGATTACTCTTAAGTAAAAGGGATGATGCCATGGCACGGGTGTGAAGTCGTGTGTGTAACTGGAATACTTCAATGAACGAAGTCATGAGGGTATGAATAGGTTGGTTGGAATGACCTGTATGAAGCAGCGCGCAACGGGCATTTTTCTCTTTTCTCTCTTCGGGATTGATTGGGGCTGGTGGACTGGTAAGGGGAGGGGGAGTGGGGTTTTCTGTCATGGTCTTCTTGTTCCTCTTGTTCTTGGTTCATTTCTAGCAATTCGGTAGGTAGCCTTTGCTGTTGCAAATACCCCCAAGTTCGATAGAGGTGTCTGCAATCTGCATCTTTCGGTTTGCCCACCTCATGAATGGTTATGGTAGTTAGGATTGAAACGTCAGGGAAGTTTTGGCATCAAACAATAGGTACTCGGCAAACCTTGGAAAGCAGCACACATCCTTGCCCGCCACCGTCCTTGGCAGGGCAGGGAGAGGTTGCCATCGGTACGGAGAGACAAAGCCCTCCCAGGCCTGTCTATCTCGGCCCGGTACGAGGCGCTGACTGACAGGTTGGTTTCCACCGGGATGGGTCTCCGACGAGTCATCGTCGGCCCGGCGGTCAACTGGTGGTATTGTGCTTAGCACTATTTATTAACCAGGTATAATAGGTATAAGTAGTCTGTCTAATCATGCGTGCACGTTATGTATCTACTATATTCATCACGGTGGTATTGATCCTTGATATTATTGATCTTACACACACAACATACGATGTGAAGCTTCTACACCCGCCTGAGCAGGCCAAACCATATCTAATGAAGCCTTCATGAGCCCCCAGTACCTGGCTTACACGTATTCATGAACCCTTGAGCAGTTGGCTCTTGCCCAAGGGCAGAGGTCGTGTATTCCGGCCTTTTGAAATTTAATTGATGTCCAGGGCTACTGGTCTCCTTTCACACAACAACAGGGTATCAAAAAGGGACCAACATCTCAGCGATACAGTGCTTATTCCTAGGTTCAACTAAGCCTGCATGCTGCGGTCCAATCCAGCTTATACTGGAAATATATATACGTGTGAACATAAGACCTCTCCTACTGTGAATGCTGGTCTGGCAGTTCAACATTCCAGTAACGCAGGTACCGGTCTGGCCGTTCGAAGCCTGAGTCTTCCACCAGGGACCTTCTTTCCGTTGATTGAGCTTATAGCTGCTTTGGCTACCTCAGGGCTCTCGAAGTCCACGAAGCAATAGTGATGATTTCCTGGTTTCGACCTCGTATCGGGGTGGGGAGTAATACGTTTGCTGATAGCGACGCTGCATCAACGGTTAGCAGGTACTTTTACAAGTTCTTAGCCGGACTTGGAGGTGCTTGGGGACAAGACGAACACTGGGAACCCTTCCAAGTAGCCTCTGATCTCCTTGTCATTTTCCTCCTGGTTGATCATCTTTCCCAGGCCTCCCACGTAGACTCTAGCTGGCGTGCCAGCCCTCTTCACCTCGTCTATATGATGCAGAGCCCCATACGGTCCTTGCCCTGGTTGCTCGTCATCATCAGGCTGGCGACCTGGGCTCCTTGCTCGTGATCCCTTCCAGTCACCCCATCTCTGGAACGTTGGTTTGTATGGTTTGTAGTCATCAGTCCTCCATCGCTTTTCAGCCTTTGGGCTAACACGGACCGAGCTTGACTGGGCGGTCTTGAATCACCACGCCGCGCAGCGCACCCAAAGCTCGTTCGGCGTCCTCGCGAGCCTCGAAGTCGATGAAACAGTACCTCGGGTTGCGTCCAGTCACCGCTTCAACGGAAATGTGTATGCCTTCAACCCGCCCCTCAAAGCCGCTGGCGTCAAGCGTCTCCTCGAGCTCCTTTGGCTTGACGCGGTACAGTAGATTGCCGAGATAGATGCGACGGCCCTGGGCAACTGTATCTGCCGAATCCGCAGTATCAGGCCGCGATCGTCGCTCTATATCGAATCCTTGTGCCCGGTCCCGCATTGGATGTGACGCCGTGCTCTCATATAGTCCGCCCTGCCGGCTCTGATAGTCACCGCTGCCACGGTCGCGTCGCCCCGGCCATCCATTGCCGGTGTTGATTGCTGCTGACGAGCTTCGGGTACCCCATCGCTCATGAGGAGGCCCACCCATGCGCCGGGTATCGCTTGTACGCCAGTTGCTTGACGAAGAGCCATACATGTTGGAAAGCTGGGGATGGGGAGACGATGAGGATGTCGAGAACGACACGCTGATATAGGCTCGGCCGTGGGAATATCGGCAAAAATGGGCTTTTCATGTATTTCTCCTGTACCACAGAACAATCTAACTGGTTGGCAGTGTGTACACAGCAATCGAGACCATTGAGGAATGATGAATGTAACTACACAGTATCCTAGGGGCCTAGTTTCTATCTTCGTTGGATGATTCCTGCGCGATCCAGGGGACTTGGCATCCCTTATTATCACCTCTACCTATATTTTCTTGGCCATTGAGACATCCCTGGGGAAATCTTGCCTAATCTCTCTGGTGCCACTAGCATGAACCCCGGAACAAGCCGCAACGCTCACATCTCCCTTCAACGGGCGCAGCGTTTTGGCTGGCAGGATACATGCCATTCTCAAATGATACATGTCCGGGCACATGTGTCTGCTTCTAGCTAATAGACGCTTGGTCCACCTATGCTCCAGGAAAAGAAATCCCCTGCGGGCGGCCTCCTGCAGTCTGCAGGAGGCCCTCTGGTCTCAGACTCTGGTCTCAGAAAAAAGTGGTCTCAGAGGGACTATTCTACGCGACGTACAGATATGATCTGTATAATATGATGAAATATGGGCTTCCTAGGGCATATATATGATACGTTCTATACTACTGTACCAAATGAAGCTGGCATACATGTGCTTGAAACATCCTACTACCCCGCTTGTTTTCATCATATACTCTGTCTGAGATCCTGCCCCGACCATTCAAATAACACTACATCGACGTCTTGATAATTTGGGGGTAACCGATCAATATTTTGACTGGCCTCACAAATCAACGCCATATAGCTATCGTACATAATAGCCGCGTCGGTTGATCACCTTTCCTGGCCATCATGGCAGGTATCTTGACCACAATTCTCGAATGCCTCTTTGGCGCCGCGGATGACCGCGTCACATATATGACGGAGAAGCATTTGCTGCTGTCAACAACCACCCGGGCCCGGACCCCTGATGAGATCGCGATCGATATCGTCACTATCCTCCACACCGCCGAGAAGAATGGTGATCAGCTAAGGCGTGACCTGGATGACACAATTTCAACCACAGCTGGAGGCTGGACGGAGGGTATCTGCAAAGCCACCCTAAGCAAGCTCGTCGACCTTATCTCGTCTGAGAATCGCGCGAAGCTTGGACCGGCCATGGAGGAGGCGTTGGAGAAGGCGGAGGAGGTCGCCGATAGCATCTTCGACTTTGCACGCGACCACCCCGAGGCCGTTGCCATCTTTGTCACCATCCTGGCAATTGGAGTCCTCTGGTTCATGGCGCCTTGGGTGCTGGAGGTTCTGGGCTTTGCGGCCGAAGGTCCGATTGAAGGTGAGTCGCACTGCTAGGTGCATCGTCAACATATGATAATAATTGCTAAACAATTCGTTGACAGGGTCCTTCGCTGCCTGGTGGGAGTCCACTTACGCTGGTTACATTCCCAAGGGCTCCCTGTTCTCTTTCTTTCAGAGACTTGCGATGAAGTGGCCTCGGGCGTAGCTTGTCCAGACTTTCCTGCCAACACGACTTCTTATAAAAGCTTCGAGGATGTATGGGGTCAGGTTGGAATGACTTGGTGTGGAACGGGCGTATACTGGCCTAGGCATCCAGGAAGTCTTCCATTCTGCAATGTCTTTGGCAAGTTAAGGGACGAGGGTCGTCATAAACAGCAAAAGCAAATGATACAGCCCAGACTATAACACAGCAAATACTATATACCCGTGCCCCCTGCCCCCACCCCTCCGCGTGTGGTTCATATTTAAGTAACGCTTGGAACGACGAAAGCACTGATCTCACTACGGCGAACGCACCAGTTAACGATTTTGGGGACACCTTCAGTCATAACACATTCAGAGCCGATTGAAAGAAGAAGAAAAGAATAAAGAAAACAGATAGGGAAACACACGGATGGGTGGGGATAGAGGAGACACATGACTCTCAACCTGGCAGCCGTGGACAACAAAAAGGAACATACCCAAGCCGGAAAGATAAACTGCATAACAAACTATGGTATGGCTCGGGCTGAGATAGGCTCGCCGCTACCACAAGGCCGCATCCCCTGCGGTCGAAGCCACCGAGAGAAAGCTCCAGAATAGAAAAAGAAGATGCAAAGAAACAGCAAAAGAAATGATCTAGCCCGGACTTGAACCGGAGACCTTCAGTGATTCTAACTGTTTGTTAGACTGACGTGATAACCAACTACACCACCAGACCAATTGTTGGAAACGCATCTCAAAACAGGCTTTATGTCCCTAAAACAAATTATGGCGATTGACGGTCTGGCGATTGTGTTGGCGGACAGGGGGGCCAAAGTCCCGACAAGCGCCCCTTTTTCTGGGAGCAGTTCAGAACATAGATACACACATACGATACACTGACCTCTCATGGTTTGCCTCTCCTCTCAGTACCATCTCTTGCAGTTCGACACCGCCCCCCTCCGATCCCAACCGTTTGCCTCCTGAGTGGGAGGTCCCTTGCCGGTGTGCTTGGTAACGTCCCTGCCAGGGCAAATGACCTGGGCAGTATGTACCTTCCTGTGTCTAAATGGTGGTCTGAAAGGTACCTGTCTCAAGTGCGCTGGGAATCCAAGACTCATGCATGTTCGCTCACTGCTTGACATGTGTGCCATTGATATATATGCTGACTATCTCTCTGTCCTCTCATCCATTCCTGTCAGAGTAATAGCGGACTTACACCGAGCTAATGGCAAAAATGGCGACGACAGCCAGCCGACGGCCCCTCGTCATGTTCAAACGCCAGACCAGGGGGCCGGAATCTACAAGATGATAACGTCCATGACAAAGTCGGATATACACAAGGAAGGGTTAAGTTGGGTTTGATGTGTGCACTTGGCCAAGTCCACCCTGGGGACAGCCCACTGGTACGATATATGCGTGCCGCACTGGAAAAGGAAGGCAAAGAAGAAGCCCATCATCCAGGCCAGGACAACAACGATGAAGGCTATAAGAAGGCGACTGATGGCCTGCTTGCGGTCAACGACAAAAATGCGCAGATAAAAGAAGAATATGCTGGCCTTGTAGCATTCAACAGTGAGGGGCATCACAATCTGATAGGCGAACTGCGTCTGTTTGTTAGGTGCGGAGGGGTTAGTCAATGTACAAATTGGACAGATCGCCTTGCTGTGGAGTGCATCCTCTTACAATTGCGGCCAAACGTGTCTGCGATGTTATGAAGTCAAGCGGGCTCCCGTGATAGCCCGGCGGAAAAACAACGCGGTATCCCAACGAGTGTCGGGAGACAGCGTAAAGGATAAGTATGCCATATCCCACAGTAGAGCACTTTTCAGATGGGATGGCGGATGCTGGCGTTAGCTACACGATTATGTACTAAGTCGTCTCCGGACCTTTGAGGGAAAGGTCTATCATGTACTGCGGCGGATCGGAAAGCATACCAAGGCCGCGGCGCTCAGCCAGTCGTCCTCCTTAAGCGGTGCACCTTGCCTCTTCCTCGCAAAGAACCTTCCAACGACTGCGAGTATATCGATCAAGCATAGCACAACCGTCGCCGCCACGAGGTGGCCGGGACTTTCGTCGTAGGTTTGGGGGAGTGTGTCGGGCATTGTCAAGAACTTGCACCGGTTTCAAACAGGCTGGCAAACAAGGACAAGACAGTTAAAATTATCTAAAAAGGTGGTTCGCGAGAAAATAGGCCGCTGACGAGGGAGGTGCTCGACGATGCGTTCGGCGCTTGGAAGGACGGGCCGACCGCCAAGGGCGTCATCGATCTTATAATGGACCAGCCAGCAGCACAGCTGCAACGGTATTCCATGTATGAGCACAGATCCACGCCTACGTACGCCAAAGGCCCCGTCTGCATCGTGGGCGACGCCGCCCACGCCGCCCCGCCGTGCCAGGCATCGGGTGGTGGTTAGGCATTCGAGGATGCTATGATCCTTGGCGCCTTGTTGGGCTCTATATCTTCGGCCGACCAAGTCCCCAAAGCCTTCGAGATATATGATGAAGTCCGTCGGCCACGTGCCTAGAACATCATAGACTCCAGCCGCGCTTCGGGCTTGATGCTCTGCGGAGCGGACCAGACGATTGGGCTAGATACTGAGAAAATTCGGGCCGAGTTGAAGGCGAGGGCAGCTATTATTGAAGGGGTAGATTTGGTGCGGTATAAGGAGGAGGCAGTAGAGAAACTGGTGAATGTATTGAGGAAGTAAAGTGGTTGGAAAAGCACGACTCGTTGTCTGCCAGAGCGACGTTTTGACTATCTATCAAATGACTAATTGGCGCGATTGATCTAGTCTTCAACATCTACAGACTTGTGATTAAAGCTCGAAAGAGCACGATATCAAAAGCTCTGACGAAGATCGTCCACCGTTAAACATCCGCTGATCTGGAGATCCATTCCATCTATACCTCCAGATTCCGCGTTGTACTCTTGATCTGAGTTTGCCCATTCGAGGTAGGGGCGTTATACTCAAGAGCTGGGATCTTTCATGTCACGAAAGCCAAGACATACTTGTGCTCTCATGCAATCGAAGGCTGACCCCACCTCGTCCAGCTAAATGGCCCTTGAGCCGTCCCTATATGCGGTAAGGGTTCGAGGGCAAAGCCTATTCCAAACGACCGACCGGAAGCAGTGGTTGCGTTGGCTGTAAGAGTGATGACAGGATGTGCCAACGATCGGGCACTTGGCTGAGGCGTACGTGCTAATGGAGTACCGAGACGTGATTTCGAATCGTATTGCTCGTCAAGTATATGCACAGTGTTGTGACTCTCCCCAGCAGCCCTAGGATCCAGATGCTTATACGCCCAGCATCTGACGGCCTGGAATCATGTTGCCTAACAACTGAAAGGTGCGACTTCCGGAGATTCAGCAGCCAAATACAGCCATAGGACGCATACTTGCACATAGAAGAGCATCGCAAATATGACAATGGAAGGCGGTCTGGAGGCTTGGCAGAGCGATGATGCGTTACGTGAACGGTCTCAGTTCTTTACTGTCTTGCCGTAAGCCCCGCCAGCTGCTCTCCTCATCTCGATCGCTCTCTTGTAAGGTGGGGCTGTCGGGGGCTGGACAGGATCCAAGGTGACATGATCTTCTGGAAGTTGGTACGACGCGTCCGAGTCGAAGGCAGAGAGATCACCGCAGGCAATGAAAGGTGCAATCCATCGGACATCGTTCTCATCAGGCTCGGTCTCGTCGTCAATCTCGACCTCAACGACACCATCGGGGCGAGCTTGTTGTTGAGTCGCAGGAGTGATGTCCCAGGCGCCGGTATCCGGGTTTTGCATTGTCGCCTTCACAATGATAGGTAGACTCTGTGTCCTGGATATCATCATTTCCGGCATTTTGTGGCCGACTCCTAGGGGCTCGTCCAAACTTGCGATAAACCCTGGGGGAGGGCGAAAGTTGAGACACACGATGAAAGCCTCAATACTGCTCGCTCGTGACGACCTCGGTTTTGCCACTACGACGCGGTCGAAGAATAGCTTAAGCTGCGCGAAGAGCACGTCGACGTTCCGACCTCTGAAGATCTTGGCCACGAACTTGCCACCAGGTTTCAGCACACACAGTGCCAGATTGAGGGCAGCAAAAAGTAGTTGTGACTGCACGTAGATGTCCAGGTCGTGCAGCCCAGTAACATCTGGTGCGCCATCGCTGAGGACCAGGTCGACCGGGTGGGAAGTCTGCTGGCTCTTGCTGCTCGAGTCATAATCGGGATCAAGGGCATTCAGTAGCAGAGGAACGGTGGCCGGGTGGGTGATGTCTGCGCGGAGGGTGACGATGCCTGGTAGGGGGCTTATCGGCTGCAGGTCTATGGAGACGATCTTGACATCCTTGCGTGGCCTGAGCTCATCCTCCGATGCTTCAACCTCCTGCGTCTTCACATCTGCAGTAGCCTTCGGGGAAAAGACACGCAACATCTGCTGTCGGAATTTGGTCTCATTGTCCTGCCATGCTGCACGGCCGAACTTCTCACCCTTGATGAGGACTCGGGAGAGCACCTGTGACCAACTTCCTGGTGCGGCGCAGAGGTCCACAACCCGGGTCACATCCTCGAATAGGTTGAATTCTGAAGGCTGTCAGCTACATTGACTTTCTCCATTCGTCCATACCTCAGACAAGAAGGGCTCACCCTCGTCAAGCTGGAGCAGCTTGAAGGCACTCCTGGCTCGCCAACCTTGCTCCTTGGCAAGCCTGTAGTAAGCGTCGCGCTTGTCCTTGGAAGACTTCCCCATGGTGAGATATCTCAAGTGAAAGTGAGACGGATGAGATATCGCAGATCACTCTCAGTTCTCAGGGGTACCTAGGTAGTCGATGGACAGGCTGCTGTATGAGTGTGAGCCTCAGCGCATACAGTCGCTAAAATTTCGCTAGCGTAGCATGCGGTACAAGGGGTCCACGGGTTCTTGTAGGGCTGAAATAAGCCAGTGGCTCGTGCTTTTGGGCCCGCTGTAATTTTCCATGTGCAATTTTTCCCGTCCAGTGTTTACGCTCCGCTTCTTTTCAGACCATCAAAACCACCCGATACACTCAACAGCCAAACGAACCCCTTCGTCCACCCCGAAATCCCCAGTTTTCGGTGCACTCGAGTTAAAGATGGTCGACAACCAGAAGAAGAGAAAGCTCCCGGCAGCCCTCTCGAATGGAGCTGCAAAGGGCAATAACAAGAAGAGGAAGGCATCGGCGGCACACAAGGCGGCTGCTGCGAAGCCAAAACGAACTGTTGACGCAGCCTCGCTAGCATGGAAGGACGTTCAGCTTCCTGAGATGTTTGACGATGCCGAAGGATTCTTCGGGCTGGAAGAAGTAACCGGTGTCGAGGTGGTGCGCGATGGCAACACAGTCAAGTTTGTCAGTACTCCCTAGCCCTCCCTCTCGCCCCCGTGGTCCATGACCCGTTGACTGACCAACACGTAAACAGGTCACCGCAATTGACGCCCCGAAAGGAGTCGACGGAGACGATTTCGAAGGATTCGATGACGAGCCCGTGACAACCGCGGACAATGCGCAGCAAGCCGAAAATGCGCCCGCCGAGACCGATGCCAAACCAAAGACCAAGGCCGCTGGCAAGAAAGAGAAGGCAAAGGAGAAGGCCCAGGAGAAAGCCAAAGAGAATGCAAATAAGACGGCTCAAGGGAAGGAGACGAAAGCTGCCACCGAGAAGAAACGGAAGCAGAAGAGTACGGTCAATGCGAACGAGGATGCCGATCTGGAATCCAACGTATTCACAAGTGCAG